CATTTCTTGAGGTCATGTGTAGCAGAGATGGGACTTGTACTGAGAAGTTTAAATCTAAATCTCTTGAAATAGCATTGGCATGGATTAGAGTTAGATTCACATTTTGAAGAGGATGTATATTTTGGTGTAATTGTTGCAACATTTGTTTGATGTATATAGTATACCTAAAGTGTGATGTTTACTTCAGTCACATATTACTTACTGATTTTAGGTGCCTAGCTTTCTGTCTTTTAGAACTGTCAAATTAATCTACTCTTGCATTTATTTTTAAGGGATTAACTGCTGCACGTTGCTGCACTTCTATTTTCTGTATCATATTTTTTTATGTAGTATGTAGCAGTTTTATTACCTTAGGCCTTCTCTGTCATTAACCCCTTAACTGTCCAAACATAGATCTACGTTCTCTTGCCCAACTCTCTGAATATTTTGAAAAAAAAAAAATTATTAAAATACAGAGGGCATTTTTCTGCATGTAATAGGATAAAATTTTTTTTTTAAGGGTCAATACTTATCAAGATATAAGAGCACAAAGTTGGTGCTGGATGCTCACGTGACAGCAACATGGAGTCCTGGTGCTTGCACAAGTGTTGCCGATATATCTTTTTTCTCGTTTTTTTTTTTATAATTTATATAATTTTTATGTTCTGATAATTACAATTTGTAGTAGTTCTTTTGATTTCATAGTCAATGTTTGTTTTGAAATAATACTCATATCATAAACACGATGACAGGTGAACATTTTCGTCTGCCTTGATCACATACTATTATCTAGAAATATAACCGTGTACATAGTATTTATAGGTCCCATCAGTGTTTTAGTAAAGTAAAGTAAAGTTTATTTCTTTGTAAAGGTTACAATGTGTAATTACAATTTTGATTTGCTAAGTACAAAGATAGCCACTATCATGCCGAGGCATTTTGGGCAAATTAATCCTAATACATAGTAACTAATTAAAGCTAGATAAGATAAAAGTACATAGTAACTATACTTAAAACTAGACAAGAAGTAGTGGTTAACTGTTTTACAAACTTATTTAAACTTAATACAAGTGAGAGGTAGTAAGGTGGAGTAGGGCTCGGGAAAATGATCTTGAAATTGCACACAGACTCTACCTTACAAGTAATGGTGCAAGTGGTAATATTTTATGGATTGGCAGAATTAAAAGCCAGGAAGTCACATAAAACTAATTAGCAGATTTTTTGGTTGATTTGGTTAATATTGTGAGATAAGATGATTTTTTAGCAAAGTCTTAAATTTAAAAGCTGTCAGGGAATCCTTGACCTGTTCTGGTAGCAAGTTCCAGATCTTCGGGCCCTTTATGTGCATGGCATTATTGCATAGTGAGAGACTGACTCAAGGGATGTTGAAAAGTGCCTTATGCCTTGTATTGTGGCTGTGCATTCTGTTGTAACTGTCAAGGAGTAGTTTTAGGGGAGGATTTACAGTGGAGTTTAATGTTCTGTATATGTAGTAGGCACAATAAAAAGAGTGTATGTATTATATTTAGCAAGTTGAGTCTTTTGAAAAGTGGTGGGGTGTGCTGTCTAGCACAGGAACTGGTTATCACCCACACAACAGCTTTTTGTTGGATTATTAAGGGTCTAAGGTGGTTGGCTGTGGTTGAGCCCCAGGCACAAATACCATAGGTGAGGTAAGGATATATTAGAGAGTGGTACACCTTGAAGCATGGTGTAAGACGAGTGTCACTCCATTGCTGACAGTGCAGCAGTGGAGTGACATTTGATGATCATGCACTGCCTTGGCTTTATTTGTTTTCAATGTTACACATAAACATGTCTGTCTGTCTGTCTAGCTCTCTCTGTTTATCTCTGTCTCTGCTTATCTGTCTTTCTGTCTGTCTGCTTGTTGTCTCTCTCTCAGTCTCAGAGAGCCACTCATGAACCAACAGGTGTTACACATGATACAGAATCATCACGTCTGATTCCTGAACAAATGAAAATGCGCATTACTTGCCAGTCATGCTTATTATGCATTATATCTACAAGTACAGTATAGCACTTTGTCTGGATTTTTTGGGCTATCTTAGGTAATTTACACGTGTATTTCGTGTATAGGGCAAGGAGGAACAACATCTTGTAGGAGTGAGGAAGAGCCAGTTGTGAGTGTGGGGGAAGTTCGTGAGGCAGTAGGTAAAATGAAAGGGGGGTAAGGCAGCCGGGATTGATGGGATAAAGATAGAAATGTTAAAAGCAGGTGGGGATATAGTTTTGGAGTGGTTGGTGCAATTATTTAATAAATTTATGGAAGAGGGTAAGGTACCTAGGGATTGGCAGAGAGCATGCATAGTTCCTTTGTATAAAGGCAAAGGGGATGAAAGAGAGTGCAAAAATTATAGGGGGATAAGTCTGTTGAGTATACCTGGCAAAGTGTATGGTGGAGTTATTATTGAAAGAATTAAGAGTAAGACGGAGAATAGGATAGCAGATGAACAAGGAGGCTTTAGGAAAGGTAGGGGGTGTGTGGACCAGGTGTTTACAGTGAAACATATAAGTGAACAGTATTTAGATAAGGCTAAAGAGGTCTTTGTGGCATTTATGGATTTGGAAAAGGCGTATGACAGGGTGGATAGGGGGGCAATGTGGCAGATGTTGCAGGTGTATGGTGCAGGAGGTAGGTTACTGAAAGCAGCGAAGAGTTTTTACGAGGATAGTGAGGCTCAAGTTAGAGTATGTAGGAAAGAGGGAAATTATTTCCCAGTAAAAGTAGGCCTTAGACAAGGATGTGTGATGTCACCATGGTTGTTTAATATATTTATAGATGGGGTTGTAAGAGAAGTAAATGCGAGGGTCTTGGCAAGAGGCGTGGAGTTAAAAGATAAAGAATCACACATAAAGTGGGAGTTGTCACAGTTGCTCTTTGCTGATGACACTGTGCTCTTGGGAGATTCTGAAGAGAAGTTGCAGAGATTGGTGGATGAATTTGGTAGGGTGTGCAAAAGAAGAAAATTGAAAGTGAATACAGGAAAGAGTAAGGTTATGAGGATAACAAAAAGATTAGGTGATGAAAGATTGGATATCAGATTGGAGGGAGAGAGTATGGAGGAGGTGAATGTATTCAGATACAGTGGACCCCCGGTTAACGATATTTTTTCACTCCAGAAGTATGTTCAGGTGCCAGTACTGACCGAATTTGCTCCCATAAGGAATATTGTGAAGTAGATTAGTCAATTTCAGACCCCCAAACATACACGTACAAATGCACTTACATAAATACACTTACATAATTGGTCGCATTCGGAGGTGATCGTTATGCGGGGGTCCACTGTATTTGGGAGTGGACGTGTCAGCGGATGGGTCTATGAAAGATGAGGTGAATCATAGAATTGATGAGGGGAAAAGGGTGAGTGGTGCACTTAGGAGTCTGTGGAGACAAAGAACTTTGTCCTTGGAGGCAAAGAGGGGAATGTATGAGAGTATAGTTTTACCAACGCTCTTATATGGGTGTGAAGCATGGGTGATGAATGTTGCAGCGAGGAGAAGGCTGGAGGCAGTGGAGATGTCATGTCTGAGAACAATGTGTGGTGTGAATATAATGCAGAGAATTCGTAGTTTGGAAGTTAGGAGGAGGTGCGGGATTACCAAAACTGTTGTCCAGAGGGCTGAGGAAGGGTTGTTGAGGTGGTTTGGACATGTGGAGAGAATGGAGCGAAACAGAATAACTTCAAGAGTGTATCAGTCTGTAGTGGAAGGAAGGCGGGGTAGGGGTCGGCCTAGGAAAGGTTGGAGGGAGGGGGTAAAGGAAGTTTTGTGTGCGAGGGGCTTGGACTTCCAGCAGGCATGCGTGAGCGTGTTTGATAGGAGTGAATGGAGACAAATGGTTTTTAATACTTGACGTGCTGTTGGAGTGTGAGCAAAGTAACATTTATGAAGGGGTTCAGGGAAACCGGCAGGCTGGACTTGAGTCCTGGAGATGGGAAGTACAGTGCCTGCACTCTGAAGGAGGGGTGTTAATGTTGCAGTTTAAAAACTGTAGTGTAAAGCACCCTTCTGGCAAGACAGTGATGGAGTGAATGATGGTGAAAGTTTTTCTTTTTCGAGCCACCCTGCCTTGGTGGGAATCAGCCAGTGTGATAATAAAAAAAAAATAAAAATTTATTTATGTATACTTGTGAGATAGACAGAGATAAACAAAGACAGAGATAGATACAGACAGACAGATGGAGATAGAGACAGCCAAAGTCATTCAGCCACCCAGCCGCCGGTCAGTCAGCTGGCCAACCAGCCGGCCAGCCTGCCAAACGAGTATTACATGTTCCAGAATTGTTTCTCCTTACTTAAGGCATAGGTTTTAGGACATTCTGGCAGGATGACACTAGCAGTGGTACCAAAATTGAAAGGATGTTGCACATGGGTTATTTTTGAGGTTTTTGATATTTCCTCGACCACTTGTGGCCACATCCACCTCAATGCCACTAAACTCAGGGTCAACATCACTTTCCTCTTAACAGGGGTGTTAATAGGACATGACATCAGTGAATCCCTGTTGTTTGCACGCTCTTTGGTCTAGCTGGCACTCAGTTGAACTGGTGCTCCCACAAGGTACTAAGTGGTCCAAGATTTTTTTTAATACTGCACACACCGAGTGTTAAGACCCATTCTTTGCTGACCAGGCATCTGAGGCCAATTGTGCCAAATTTGGAGGCAGGAAAAAATAGAATGTTGATCTTCATTTGAAGTGCTAGTGGTAACAACATTGATCTATGTTTGGATAGTTAAAGTGTTAATAAACTTTCTTCAGTAAAAGTTTGCCACTCTAGTGAGACGCCATGTAATTATTGTTAACTTAGTTCATATTACTATTTAATTGTCTTGAATATACTGTACACTATTATAAGTTTTTATTCCATATTTAATAATAAAAATTTATTGTTTGTTATACAGTATACTGTATTGTATTAGTTATTGCTCATTAAAAGTGGCTTACTATAGTAATATATGAATCACCATGTTCTAATATGTTTTATTGCCCAACTCTACAGATACAAGTTGTCAGTTATATGAGTTTCAATGTTTGGATGGGCAGTGCATATCACTAAATGCCAAATGTGATGGTGTAGCAGATTGTCGTGAAGGTTCTGATGAGACTGACTGCCCAATGGACGCTACATTAACTAGTATGTTATTGTCTTCAATATTGTAAGATCAATTTTAATGAATATCTTTTCTTTCTTTCAGTTGCTGTGAATGAAAATTTCTAATTGAACTAATTTTCTTGCATGTGAATATAGATGTAATAACTAATGATACTAAACTACATTAGTATTTACTAAATGCTAAGTAGATGCATAAACCATTATATCATATTAAAATTTTATTTTTTGCTTTCAGGTGCACTGTAGTCTCACATTTTCTGTGATAAAAGAATGCACTTTTGACCAAATAACTCAGTATGGATGATAATTCTGTAACTAATATTTTTTCAGATATTTATCAAGATAAGAAACATGAAGTAATACCTAATTTTTTTTATGGAATTTCTTGAGAATCATGAAGCAATTCCTAACTTTTTTATGATAATTCTTCCATCAAGAATATGTTAAGTATGCTACTATTTAGTAAGAACTTGGCTACTTGGCTTATACAATAATGATTATTTTGCCATTCAAGACAAGCATATTTTATTGTGTAAACTTCACAAAGATTAGTCTGTATCTAACAAAATTACCATATCATTCATGATAACTAATACTAACTGAATGTAGACTACCCTTATATACGTTAAGGGCCTTGACCTATATTTAATTATTGCACTGTATGTTTTATTGAATTTTGGTTATAATGCTAAGATAGTTTGTGCAGATGTGAAAATTTACACATTATGTTAATTACTATATGGAAAAATCTTTGCTAGACTGTATGAGGAACCTGTTGCTGCTATATTAGTCTCTCAACTTCTGATAATTTAAAGGAAAAAGGAAAAAATGGGAACATTTGACATTATATTAGAGAAGAAATGAAGGCATGGTTTAACAAAATCAAGTTTCAGGACTGATTTCTGAACTGCTTTTTTTCTGCAGTTGAGACATCTCTTAAAACAAAGAGCTTGTTAGATAATGCTCCTGCCCACCACCTTCTATTCATGAATCAATGCCTGTGTTCTGTGAAGAATTTACAACTTTCTAGATGTTCACCAAGTCTTCATAATTAGATAGTGTCTAATTGAAGCTTAGAACTGGTTTTCTGTGTGTGAGTGTGTGTGTGTGTGTGTGTGTGTGTGTGTGTGTGTGTGTGTGTGTGTGTGTGTGTGTGTGTGTGTGTGTGTGTGTGTGTGTGTGTGTGTACTCACCTATTTGTGGTTGCAGGGGTCAAGTCACAGCTCCTGGCCCCACCTCTTCGCTGATTGCTACTAGGTCCTCTCTCTCCCTGCCCCATGAGCTCTATCATACCTCGCCTTAAAACTATGTATGGTTCCTGCCTCCACCACATCACTTTCTAGGCTATTCCATGGCCTGACTACTCTATGACTGAAGAAATACTTCCTAACATCCCTTTGATTCATCTGAGTCTTCAACTTCCAATTGTGACCTCTTGTGTCTGTGTCCCATCTCTGGAACATCCCGTCTTTGTCTACCTCGTCTATTCCGCGCAGTATTTTATATGTCGTTATCATGTCTCCCCTGACCCTCCTGGCCTCCAGTGTCGTCAGGCCGATTTCCCTCAACCTTTCTTCATAGGACAATCCCTGTAGCTCTGGGACTAGTCTTGTTGCAAACCTTTGCACTTTCTCTAATTTCTTGACGTGCTTTACTAGGTGTGGATTCCAAACTGGTGCTGCATACTCCAGTATGGGCCTGACGTAGATGGTATACAGAGTCTTAAATGAATCCTTACTGAGGTATCGGAACGCTATCCGTAGGTTTGCCAGGCGCCCGTATGCTGCAGCAGTTATCTGATTGATGTGCGCCTCAGGAGATATGCTCGGTGTTATACTCACCCCCAGATCTTTTTCCTTGAGTGAGGTTTGCAGTCTTTGGCCATCTAAACTATATTGTGTCTGCGGTCTTCTTTGCCCTTCCCCAATCTTCATGACTTTGCATTTGGCAGGGTTAAATTCAAGGAGCCAGTTGCTGGACCAGGCTTGTAGCCTGTCCAGGTCTCTTTGTAGTCCTGCCTGATCCTCGTCCGATTTGATTCTTCTCATTAACTTCACATCATCTGCAAACAAGGACACTTCTGAGTCTATCCCTTCCGTTATGTCGTTCACGTATACCAAGAACAGCACAGGTCCTAGGACTGACCCCTGTGGAACCCCGCTTGTCACAGGCGCCCACTCTGACACCTCGTCGCGTACCATGACTCGTTGTTGCCTCCCTGTCAGATAATCTCTGATCCATTGCAGTGCCTTTCCTGTTATGTGTGCCTGGTCCTCTAGCTTTTGCAGTAACCTCTTGTGAGGAACTGTGTCGAAGGCCTTCTTGCAGTCCAAAAATACGCAGTCGATCCACCCCTCTCTCTCTTGTCTTACTTCTGTCACCTTGTCATAAAACTCAGTAGGTTTGTGACACAGGATTTTCCTTCCCTGAAACCGTGCTGGTTGTCAATTATACACTTGTTTCTTTCCAGGTGCCCCACCACTCTCCTCCTGATGATCTTCTCCATGACCTTGCATACTATACACGTTAGTGATACAGGTCTGTAGTTTAGTGCCTCATGTCTGTCTCCCTTTTTAAAAATTGGGACTACATTTGCCATTTTCCATACCTCAGGGAGTTGCCCAGTTTCAAATGATGTGTTGAAGATCTTTGTTAATGGCTCACACAATATCTCTGCTCCCTCTTTAAGGACCCATGGAGAGATGTTGTCTGGTCCCACCGCCTTTGAGGTGTCAAGTTCACATAGCAGCTTCTTCACCTCCTCCTTGGTTATATGTACCTCATCCAGCACTTGCCGGTGTGCCCCCCTGTTCTGATTTCTTGGAGTCCTACTGGTTTCCACTGTAAATAACTCTTTAAATCTTGTGTTGAGCTCCTGACATACCTCTCGGTCGTTTCTTGTGAATTCCCCATCACCCTTCCTCAGTCTGATTACCTGGTCCTTGACTGTTGTTTTCCTCCTGATGTGGCTGTACAACAGCTTCGGGTCAGTCTTTACTTTTGATGCTATGTCATTTTCATATTGTCTCTGAGCCTCCCTTCTTGTCTGTGCATATTCGTTTCTGGCTCTTCGGCTGATTTCTTTATTTTCCTGAGTTCTCTGTCTTCTGTACCTTTTCCATTCTCTAGTACACCCAGTTTTTGCCTCCCTACACCTTTGGGTGAACCAAGGACTCGTTCTGTTCTTCCCATTATTTCTGTTTCCCTTGGGAACAAACCTCTCCTCTGCCTCCTTGCATTTTGTTGCTACATAGTCCATCATTTCTTGTACTGGTTTTCCTGTCAGTTCCCTCTCCCACTGAATGTCTTGAAGGAAGTTCCTCATGCCTGAGTAGTTCCCCCTTTTGTAGTTTGGTTTTTCCCAGCCTATTCCTGCTACTCTCTCCACTTGGAGCTCAACTATGTAGTCGAAGCACAGAACCACATGATCACTAGCTCCCAGGGGCCTTTCATACATGATACCCTCGATGTCCGAACTACTCATGGTGAATACAAGGTCCAACCTTGCTGGTTCATCCTCTCCTCTCTCTCTGGTAGTGTCTCTAACATGTTGATGCATGAGGTTCTCCAGTACCACATCCATCATCTTGGCTCTCCATGTTTCGGGACCCCCATGGGGCTCCAGGTTTTCCCAGTCAATTTCCTTGTGATTGAAATCACCCATAACTAGTAACTTTGCTCCCCCCATGTGTGCTCTCCTGGCCACCTCGGCTAGTGTGTCGATCATTGCTCTGTTGTTGTGTGTGTGTGTGTGTATGTACGTACTCACCTAATTGTAGTTGCAGGGGTCAAGACTCAGCTCCTGGCCCCGCTTCTTCACTGAACGCTACTAGGTCCTCTCTCTCTCCCTGCTCCATGAGCTTTATCATACCTCGTCTTACAGCTGTGTATATTCCTGCCTCCACTACATCACTCGCCAGACTGTTCCACTTCCTGACCACTCTATGACTTTAGAAATGCTTCCTAACATCCCTGTGGCTCATCTGAGTCTTCAACTTCCAAGAGTGACCTCTTGTTTCTGTGTCCCCTCTCTGGAACATCTTGTCTCTGTCCGCCTTGTCTATTCCACACAGTATTTTGTATGTCGTTATCATGTCTCCCCTATCCTTCCTGTCCTCCAGTGTCGTCAGGCCGATTTCCTTCAACCTTTCTTCATAGGACATTCGCCTTAGCTCTGGAACTAACCTTGTCGCAAACCTTTGCACTTTCTCTAATTTCTTAATGTGCTTGACCCAGTGCAGGTTCCAAACAGGTGCTGCATACTCCAGTATAGGCCTGACGTACACGGTATACAGTATCTTGAAGGATTCCTTACTTAGGTATCAGAATGCTAATCTCAGGTTTGCCAGGCGCCCATATGCTGCAGCAGTTATCTGGTTGATGTGTGCTTCTGGAGACGTGTTCGGTGTTATACTCACGCCAAGATCTTTCTTCTTGAGCGAGGATTGCAGTCGTTGGCCACCTAGCCTTTACTCTGTCTGCGGTCTTCTTTGCCCTTCTCTGATCTTCATGACTTTGCATTTGGCAGGGTTGAATTCGAGAAACCAGTTGCTGGACCACGTGTCCAGTCTGTCCAGGTCTCTTTGAAGGCCTGCCTGATCCTCATCTGATTCAATTTTCCTTATTAATTTCACATCTACAAACAGGGATGCTTCTGAGTCTATCACTTCCATCATGTCATTCACATAAACCAAAAATAGCACTGGTCCTAGGACTGACCCCTGTGGGACCCGGCTCATCACAGGTGCCCACTGTGATACCTCCTCATGTACCATGACTCGTTGTTGCCTTCCTGTCAGGTATTCTCTGATCCATTGAAGTGTGTGTGTGTGGGTGTGCCTGTGCATGTGTGTGTGTGCATATGTGTGTGTGTGTGTGTATGTATGTATGTATGTATGTATGTGTGCATGTACATGTGTGCATGCACGTACGCATACTCACCTAATTGTAATTGCAGGGCTTGAATCATAGCTCCTGGCCCCACCTCTTCACTGGTAGCTACTAGATTCACTCTCTCCTTGCTCCATGAGCTTGATCATACCTATTCTTAAAGCTATGTATGGATTCTACCTCCACTACATCACTCTATGTTGTGTGTGTGCATGAGGTGCGTGTTTGTGTGTTCATGTGTGCATTTGTGCGTGCATATCATCAGACTCATAAAACTGGATAACCTCTGTATTGTATATTAATAAGGAAATGATGAGCTGTAGGAGGTATTGAGGTTCAATCCAAGGAAGGGGAGGGTAACTCTTAATTCCTTGGATCAAGAACTTTTTACCAGCAGCAAGGCACTCCATTTGAAGGATAGCTTTTAGAGCAGTTTATATTCTATTGTTAAAGGTAGAAATTCATTTGTATCATTGAGAACTAATAACCAGTTATTGGTTGTACTTGAATTTGGTAATTTCTGTGCCTGTAGATGCTTATTAATATTAACTTTTACTTGTAGCTAAATTTACCCATTGTTTTTCTGACTAATTTCAGCATTACAATGACATTTGTAATGACACTGAAGAGTTTTGGATATTGTACCCTGTCAAAACTCTGGCTTGTCCAAGCAATTTTTGTACATTTTGATGAATAATTATCAAGCATGGTATTTTTTATTCTTATATGTGTATCTATTAACTAACAAGTTATCAAGTAATATGTGTATATTTCTGACAATGGATTATATTTTTTTTTAAATTTTCTGTGTATTTCTTACTCTTGATATAATTAAGATTTATGGCATATGAAATGTATGTGATATATCATGAAATTTATTAAATGTAAAAGTTTTAGTGGTGGGCAGGTGTTCACTATAGTTCTGCATCTATGACAGGTGCTTAACAAAAATTTAATCTGCAGAAAGTTCATTATGTTGAAGCAACAACTTGTGTACAGTAGAACATAATAAGTTTAGCACTCAGCTATGTACTATGGACACTTCTTAAGGATCATTTGTTCATAATCACCATTTATTCTGAATGATCAGCTGTTTGGAATGATCTCTTGTTCAGAATGATCAGCTGGTTAGAATGTGGTAACAATGTATGGTGTTGTGGAAATATGAGAGAATAAGTCAAGTGTAGTAATGAGCCAGAACCTAGCCTCAACCCTCAACCATCCAAGTGAGTAAACAGAATTGAGAGTGGTTTCTAGTACACAACATTAACCACCTTCATCTTTAGTAAACTTTTATACCTGTTAGCCTGTGTAGGGGGAATATTTCAAGTGTACCAGAAGTAAAGTTATGGTGGGGAAGGAGTGTAGCAGTGTAGGTGACTGTTGTATAGGGTTGTAAACTATGTGTAAAAACACACAGTTGCATGTAAACAGGCTGTTACCACATTTATCCACCTCACAAGAAGTTATTATATTTTTGTTGGTTGATGTCAGTTAAATTGAAATTATGTCACTCTATACTCGTCACTGGAACAATACCAGCCATGATTAAAACATGTCTACAATGTAACAATGCGTTTAAGCAAAATAATATTTGTGGGGTACAATGCTACCTTAGCCAGGAGTGGCATTATGTTTCATATGCCAGTATTTCTACCTCTACCAGCAATGATATTAAAGTTTTTTTGTTACTTTGTTTTTTTTTCAGATGCTTTCCAGTGTTACAATGGTCAGTACATTGATAATTCTCGCCGTTGTGATGGCAGGAGTGACTGTAGTGATGGTAGTGATGAGGATCGATGTGGTAAGTCACATAGTCATATGTATTTAAAAATCCAAATCCAAAACCATCTTCATATTATATAAAGGGAAATTTTACACACTTGTGAAAAAGTTTGTAACATTGCTGGTGGGCAAATAGTTGACTCCATTAATGTGGAAAACGGTAGGATAGGAGTCAGTGTCATCATTCTCCTCCACACCTGTACATCACATTCTGACAATTTAGTTATACTTTAACAAATTATTTCTGGGATTCACAGTACAGTACCTTGCTCAAGCATATGTCCGATTACCATATTTTCACTTCATGTTATAGTCTAATGTAAATAATATTTGTATATTTTTTAATATTCCTGAAGGTTTTTATTCCATGACTATCCTTCCAATTTTCAACCTTAGATTCATGTGAATCTTATTGCAATGAAAATCTTAATTAACATTTTGGCTAATTAATTCCTTAAATAATTACTTAGGTCATGGACTGAACAACAAAAATGATATTGTAGGCTAGGTTCATATATTTTGTGACATTGTTATTGATGTTAATGAATTGACACTTAAGTGAACAGGAGCAATTTCCAGTAACAATAGTCAGTGCCTTCACTCACTAACCTACTCATGTGGAGCAGGCTCTCAAAAATCTTGAAAAAAAAAAAAAGAGCAGTTTGAACCACAGTGCTCCTCACATGTAGGGCCACCATGCCTAATATAATGAAGGTAAATTCATGAGCATTTCATCCAACATGATTAAATAGTTATACATAGGCCAGTATAAATGAAATTCAGAAAACAATCGAGGGATTTTATGTAAAATGTGCCTGTAAAACTTTAAGTCCTATAATGGCTTATTAGAATATTTGGGATTTTTTTTTTTTTAATTTTTTTACTTATTTAATAAATGACAGACTGTTAATAATTGATGTATGATAAAAAGAGGAAGCATAAATATTGTTATTGTATTAAAGTACTTTGAAATAGTTTTAAAATTTAAAAAGCGAATTGTCGTAAAAATTGCAAATGATTGAAAATTGCATGGAATCAGGTACTTAAACTATTTATATGCATTAAAATAAGGAATTTATACTACAGAGCAGATATGCCTGCTGTTAGTGGGAATGTATGAAACAGTTCCTAGAATTCATTAAAATGTAGATATCAACGTCTGCAAGAACACGGAAGCCAACCAGGCCATCCAGACTCTCATTATATAATGTTCAAGATATATATAAAAAGGACCAAAAGCATATCTTGGCTTTGGACAACTTGATGCACAGTATTGCCTTGCACCTTTATAATAATAATAATAATACATACATGTACACATTTATTTATACACATTCATCTGAGTTTTCTTTGATTTTATCTTAATAGTTCTTGGTCTTATTACTTTTCCTTTTATATCTATGGGGAAGTGGAATAAGAATCTTTCCTCCGTAAGCCATGCGTGTTGTAAAAGTCAACTAAAATGCCGGGAACAATGGGCTAGTAACCCCTTTTCCTGTAAAGATTACTAAAAAGAATAAGAAGAAGAAAATTGTCAAAGTGGGAAGTCTGAATGTGCATGGATGTTGTGCAAATGATAAGAAAGAGATGATTGTGGATGTTATGAATGAGAAGAAGCTGGATGTCCTGGCTTTAAGTGAAACAAAGCTGAAGGGGGTGGGAGAGTTTCAATGGAGAGGAATAAATGGGATTAGGTCAGGGGTTTCAAATAGAATTAGAGCTAAAGAAGGAGTAGCAATAATGTTGAAGGATAAGCTATGGCAGGAAAAGAAGGACTATAAATGTATTAATTCAAGGATTATGTGGAGTAAAATAAAGATTGGATGTGAAAAGTGGGTTATAATAAGCGTGTATGCACCTGGAGAAGAGAGAAGTGTAGAGGAGAGAGAGAGATTTTGGGAAATGTTGAGTGAATGCTTGGGGAGTTTTGAATCAAGTGCGAGAGTAATGGTGGTTGGGGATTTCAATGCTAAAGTGGGTAAAAATGTTATAGAGGGAGTAGTAGGTAAATTTGGGGTGCCAGGGGTAAATGTAAATGGGGAGCCTTTAATTGAGCTATGTGTAGAAAGAGATTTGGTAATAAGTAATACATATTTTATGAAAAAGAGGATAAATAAATATACAAGGTATGATGTAGCACGTAATGAAAGTAGTTTATTAGATTATGTATTGGTGGATAAAAGGTTGATGGGTAGGCTCCAGGATGTACATGCTTATAGAGGGGCAATTGATATATCGGATCATTATTTAGTTAAGAACATAAGAACAGAGGAACACTGCAGCAGGCCTACTGGCCCATGCGAGGCAGGTCCAAGTCCCCTACCAGCTTAAGCCAATGCACCCAAACTAGTCAGGTCAGGTCACCTTGACTTAAGGGAGGAACACGGCAACCGACCTGGTAGCACAAGCTATCAGGTCCAACTCACACCCACCCACATCCACTCATGTATTTATCCAACCTATTTTTAAAGCTACACAATGTTCTGGCCTCTATAACTGTACTTGGGAGTTTGTTCCACTCATCCACAACTCTATTACCAAACCAGTACTTTCCTATATCCTTCCTGAATCTGAATTTTTCCAACTTAAAACCATTGCTGCGAGTCCTGTCTAGGCTAGATATTTTCAGCACACTATTTACATCCCCTTTGTTTATTCCTGTCTTCCATTTATACACCTCAATCATATCCCCCCTAATTCTACGTCTTTCTAGAGAGTGCAGATTCAGGGCCCTTAGTCTATCCTCATAGGGAAGGTTTCTGATACATCGGATCAACTTTGTCATCCTCCTTTGTACATTTTCCAGAGCATTTATATCCATTCTATAATACGGTGACCAAAACTGTGCAGCATAATCTAAATGAGGCCTAACCAAGGATGTATAGAGTTGAAGAACAACCTGAGGACTCCTATTATTTATGCTTCTTGATATGAAGCCAAGGATTCTATTAGCTTTATTGCGAACACTTATGCACTGTTGTCTTGGTTTCAGATTACTGCTAACCAGAACTCCTAAATCTTTTTCGCAATCCGTAATATTAAGATCTACATTATTTAGTTTATATGTGGCATGGTTATTGTCCTGTCCAACATTTAGAACTTTGCATTTGTCTATATTAAACTGCATCTGCCACCTCTCCGACCACTGCATCAGTCTATTCAAATCTTCCTGGAGTGCTCTAATGTCCTCGTCAGAATGAATTCGACGGCCTATTTTGGTGTCATCTGCAAACTTGCTGATGTCGCTCTTTATGCCCTCATCTATGTCGTTTATGTATATTGTGAACAGCAGGGGGCCCAACACTGACCCCTGTGGAACACCGCTCGTGACGCTTCCCCACTCTGATTTCTCCCCATTTATGCAAACTCTCTGCTGCCTATTTGTCAACCATGCCTCTATCCAGTTAAAAATTTCTCCTCCTATTCCATGTGCCTTAATTTTCCTCAATAGTCTCTGATGTGGGACCTTGTCAAAAGACTTACTGAAGTCCATATACACAATATCATATTCATTACCATGATCAACCTCCTCAAATACCTTAGTGAAAAAAGTTAATAAATTCGTAAGGCAGGAAAGCCCCTTTGTAAAACCATGCTGAGATTCGTTGATTAATTTATGCTTTTCAAGGTGGCTACGAACTGCCTCGGCAATTATTGATTCCATAAATTTTCCCACTATGGAGGTTAGGCTTATTGGTCTATAGTTCGAAGCTAAGGACCTGTCACCTGCTTTGAAAATAGGTATCACATTTGCCATTTTCCACTTATCTGGCACCATGCCAGTTTGTAGTGATATGTTGAAAAGATTAGCCAAAGGTTTGCTAAGCTCCTCTTTACATTCCTTTAGAACCCTTGCATACAGTTCATCAGGGCCTGGGGATTTGTTAGGTTTTAATTTATCTATTTGCCTAAGGACCATGTCACTTGTGACTCTAATCGTGCACAGTTTATTATCGTCCTGTTCCACATAATTTATCATTTCTGGAATATCGCTGGTATCCTCCTGTGTAAAAACTGAGAGGAAGTATGTGTTAAAACTTCTACACATTTCCTTATCACTGTCAGGGAGGTATACCATCTTTTAGTTGTAGCTACAGTTAGAGTAAGAGGTAGATGGGAAAAGAGGAAGGTGGCAACAACAAGTAAGAGGGAGGTGAAAGTGTATAAACTAAGGGAGGAGGAAGTTCAGGTGAGATATAAGTGACTATTGGCAGAAAGGTGGGCTAGTGCAAAGATGAGTAATGGGGGGGTTGAAGAGGGTTGGAATAGTTTTAAAAATGCAGTATTAGAATGTGGGGCAGAAGTTTGTGGTTATAGGAGGGTGGGGACAGGAGGAAAGAGGAGTGATTGGTGGAATGATGAAGTAAAGGGTGTGATAAAAGAGAAAAAGGTAGCTTATGAGAGTTTTTTACAAAGCAGAAGTGTTATAAGAAGAGCAGAGTATATGGAGAGTAAAAGAAAGGTAAAGAGAGTGGTGAGAGAGTGCAAAAGGAGAGTAGATGATAGAGTGGGAGAGGCACTGTCAAGAGATTTTAATGAAAATAAGAAAAAATTTTGGAGTGAGTTAAACAAGTTAAGAAAGCCTAGGGAAAATATGGATTTGTCAGTTAAAAACAGAGTAGGGGAGTTAGTAGATGGGGAGATGGAGGTATTAGCTAGATGGCGAGAATATTTTGAGGAACTTTTAAATGTTAAGGAAGAAACAGAGGCAGTAATTTCATGCACTGGTCAGGGAGGTATACCATCTTTTAGGAGTGAAGAAGAGCAGAATGTAAGTGTGGGGGAGGTACGTGAGGCATTACGTAGAATGAAAGGGGGTAAAGCAGCTGAAACTGATGGGATCATGACAGAAATGTTAAAAGTAGGGGGGGATATAGTGTTGGCGTGGTTGGTACTTTTGTTTAATAAATGTATGAAAGAGGGGAAGGTACCTAGGGATTGGCGGAGAACATGTATAGTCCCTTTATATAAAGGGAAAGGGGACAAAAGAGACTGTAAAAATTATAGAGGAATAAGTTT